GGCATAGCTGCTTTGGGTTGTCCTTTCCACAAGAGTGCAGCAACATAGCTGCTTTGCGTTGTCCTTTGCACAGGAGGGCAGAGCCCTCAGTAGTCAGCCATAGCCTAGGCATGCGATGCCACACCAAGGAAGCTCGAGGCAGAGTCAGGCATGGCGGCTTAGTCAGCAGCGGCATAGCTGCTTTGGGTTGTCCTTTGCACAGGAGTGCAGCAACATAGCTGCTTTGCGTTGTCCTTTGCACAGGAGGGCAGAACCCTCAGTAGTCGGCCATAGCCTAGGCATGTGAGAGGAGGAAGAAGGGGGGAAAGCCATAGCTATGGTGGACCTGTTGTTGTGTCAGCAGTAAGAGGGAACTTCGGATATGAATTCTGGTCCATCCACTCATTGTTATTATTATTATTGGAAGAAGAATAAGATTGGCAAAGTGAAGGAGGAGGAGGAAGGTGGAGTGAGAAGGGGGATTTGTCATTGGTCTTGCTGGTGTACACCTTCTTCTTCTTCTTCTTCTTCTTCTTCTTCTTCTCTCTCTCTCTTCTTTGGTCTCTATCTCTTCGCAAGTGCTTTCATTTCTGTCGCAATTGGGTGGCATTGTCTTTCATTGTGAATTTGCACTTTGGGAATGACCAGGATCGTAACAAAAAATAAATAAATTGTGTTGCTGGCAACTTGCTGCTAATTTGTGCTTAAGGTCTTTTTTTCTAATAGTAAGAAGCGACGCCTGTGACGGTTCTGATTGGGAAGTGGACGATGAAAGCGAGATCCTGGGCCGGGAAAAGGTCCTAGATAGGGAAGAGCTTGGCCAGACCGACCCAGAGATTCTGGGCAAGGCAGATCACTCTGCAGGCTCCCCATCAAAGGACAATGGAGTAGGGTCTTCTCAGGCAGGAACTGGTGAAGGGACAAGCTCAGACACCTCTCCACCCTCCCCTACCTAGACGGTCCGCCTCTAAAACTCTCTAAAATCTGACCCAGCTGCTGTGATGGAGAGCTATAGAAGACGAGCGAATGAGGTAAGAGACCGCACGGATTGGAAGAGTCAAGGACTAGTTCTTAGAAGCTGGAATGTCAACGGTTAGGGAACATAATTGAAAAAGAAGAAAAATGGAACGACATACTATCCGGGATTTCGATGAGGGATAGAAAGCCAGCTGATATAGTACTACTATAGGAAACTCACCTCACCTCCTCACCAGCACACAACAGAATTCGCTCTTTCATGGCAAAAAAAACTAGGCGGCCTGAAGGATGAAATTTGGTCGGTCGATCCTGAAACAAGTACTAAGGGAACAGCCATTATGATTCCCAAATCCTCACGCCTATATGCAGCAGGATCGGTAATCGACATGAAAGCCRACCAGATAGAAGGAAGGTGGTGCATGCTRCATCTGAAATGGAAGGAAGAGGATTTCTTACTCTTCAATATTTATGSCCCGAACTCGCCAGCAGAAARATCGGCCTTCCTAAGACATATCGGAGACCTGATACCACCACTAACCCCGTGKATCYTGGCAGGAGACTGRAATGCCACAATAGACCCTTCCGTKGACCGTATCTCTCGATCCTCCTCTACCCCAAACTTCTCAGAAGCAACACCAATCCAAGAAATGATGTTGAACCACAATCTGGTTGACCCCTACAGAATCCTACTCCCCAACAAGAGATCCTTCACCTTAGTCAGGAAGAACTGTGTTAATCACATGGCCTTCTCACGAATAGACTACTTCCTAGTGTCTGAAATCTTGATGGGGGCGGTCAAGGAGGCTGTAGTACTACCRCTGGCTCCATACTCAGGGCTGGATCACAAACCAACTGAATTAATCATAAGCTTTGACCAAATGGTTTCAAAGGGAGTCAGCTTCCACAAGCTCAAYAATTCYCTTCTGCTGAGCCAAACCTTCCAAAGCGAAATTTGCGACTGCTGGCAAGGGTTGAGATCAACACACCTAAGCACTACTCCTCGATGGGATTGGTTTCAGAAGAGTTACTCGACCCTTTCAGATACCGTGGCCCAAGTGTCTAGGAAGCTAGCGTCAA